AAGCTTTCATCCTTGTTTTTCTCCATATTTTCTAGGCTTTTGGTAGACATTTCCATTAGTACGTCAGAATTTTAAAAGAGGATAAAATGGCAATAAAACAGAATACCTACTGGAAACAGAAAAGTTCACACTGGTGTAATACCAAAAAATAATTTATTAACTTTTAATAATTTCTTTTATTGAAAAACCCCTTCTACTGTGATATAAACTAAAATATTACACAACAAATCACTTTAGCTTATTGGCAAATGGACATTTTTCCTCTGCTAATGGCACTAGCATCAGACACGCTATTCGATGCCTGAGGGAATTCTTACGAAGCTATTCTGACTACCCAAGTACCTGCTATTATTAAGACCCAGAGTATAAAATACAAGTTTAAGTGCACTACGGCAAACAAGGTTGCCAAGATACCAATCCAAGGTTGCTCTCAATATCATGAAAAAATCATAACGTTTTGATCTTAAAAATTATCCTCAAATTGACTGATACACTTGGGGTGTTAGATGGCTTAGCAGATTTCTACTCAGTTTAGTAGGACTGTATTGTCACTAACAGGAATCTCTCTGCTCAGCTGTATTTTCAGGATCCTCAGAATCAAAATAAAGGGGAAATTGAGGAAATCATCTGAGTTTCTGTAACTCAGCAAGCTACTTTTGCAAACACATACTAAGCATTAAAATTTATACTCTTTTAAAAAAAAGCACAAATACAATTATGCAAATTTGCACGCCAGGAAGATAAGTGTTTTCCTTGATATCAATAGAAATTGAGTGCAATGCATTAGCAGTACAAATGGGAGACACCATGTGTAGCTGGTTTCTTTAGCTTAGGAATAGTATTTCCCTCCTTCACTATGGCATCAAGGCACATTCCAGTGCCACATCCAGTGAAGCTGCCATAGGCAAAGCTGGATAGCCACCATTCCTGCGTGCTCTTACTACCCTATGTACCCAGACCACTTCCAGTGGAGAATGACAGGCCACAGTCATAGCCGGTCAGATTCCCACATCTTCATGGACTCGCATCCTCAGGCAGCATTTTGCATGCTATAGCAGCACACGTTCAACAACCAGCTCCATGACTCTCCCTGAGTGACATACAGGGTTTCACAGATTCATACAATTTGGGAACAGGGACACTGGAAGGATTCCAGTGAAGAGGAAAAATTTCAGCTGCATATGCAAACTATGTCAGGTGTATAGCAGAATCAAGCCCCCTATTAGCATATCCCGGAAGCAGACAGGAACTGGAATGGCAGACTACAGAAGTCAAACAGCATTCAGAGACTTGTGATAACTCAGGACAGACATAACAACACTTTCATGTTAGAACGGCAGTTCCTGAACAAGGAAATGATCAATTCTACTTGTGAGTGATTTTGTTGCCACAAGGCCGATTTCTCCTTCACTTGCATGGACTTTGAAGATTCACTTTTTTAACACAAAAAAATGCTAAAAAAGATGCTGTTTAAAAGCTGCTTGACAGAACTAGTCATTATATGAAGTACAATTAATTTGCTCAACCTGGAGAAAATAAGGCATATGAGAGCATAGAAAAGTCACTTCTGTAATTTCAGTTTTCCTTATGATAACTGCCTCTCAGACACATCTCATCCATAGCCATCAGACCATAAAACTAGGCTATTAAGTTAAAAGTTGCACTTTAAAAATCCACAAAACCTTGTGCTAGGAATATGAACTGTGACCCCTTTAGTTATTTAGGAGATTTAGGCATTTTCAACATTATTACAAGGGGCCATTAGAAGGACTGAATCCATAGTCTTTATTGATTTAAGAGTCATCCAACTGTACTTACCTAAGTGTTACTCGAGTGAGCTGTTGCAAGATGACTTTGAGTTTTACATTTATCCTAGAAGGCAGCCAGGAAAACTAAATGTTGGATCCAGCTTCTCAATTTGAAGCCTAAAGTCTCACTAACTTCAGTTAAGTTTCTTTTGTGTCTATCTCCCATTTGCCTCACTAACTTTTCTTGTTGGCTCTGGGTATAATAGTGAGAGGAGATCACAGACAAGTAAGAAACCAAACACTCAGTGAGAAGGAGCTACAAAAGTGATTAAAACAGTTTTTCTGTGGTTTATGATGGCTGTTATTCCTTTTTGAATTTTTCCCTAGACATATATAGGAATACTTATATATATATTTTGCAAGTTTTTACTTTCTGCAAACATTGCAAAGATCGCACAGCAATCAAAATCATAAACATTTTAAAGTTATCCATAGCCACATTTCCTAGATAGAAAATGGACGATGTAATCAGTTAGTACTGCAGTTCCAGTGAATTTAGTATTGCATACTTTGTCTTTAAAAAAAAAAAACCCTTCTACCTTTTCCTGCTTGTTTTAAAATATTTGACCCTTCTTTTATTCCACATAGAACTACCTCAAAGCTGAATCCACGCAGTTTGAGAAGTTTGCCTTGGGGGGGGGAGCTCAGTATTAATACAGGAAGACCCACTGTTTTCCTGTTTACAATATGCTTTTGTTCTGCATGTAGTCTTAAAAAAAAAAAAATGCACAACTTCAGTATTATGAGATTATTACTATTAGCCATCAGCTCATTCTAGCAAAACCACAGGCAATGTCTCTGCCACCAGACGCTTCAAAGATTGATGGCTTGAACTTGCCTTGAAATGTTATGGAAAATTACTAACATTCTAATGAACAACACTAGGTGTTATTGTTAACACTAGGAAAACCATTCTAATTCAAATTCTCAAAGGTACTTGGAGAATTTTACTGTTAACTTCAAAAGAGAGAGGATTTCAACCTTAAGATTTTTTTTCTCCTGACTCTTAGAAACTGCTTTACCCCTTTCTAGCTAGTTTATGCTATAATCCCCCTAAAATCATGAATTTATATTGACACAAAACTCTTCATAAAGGGGCAGAGAGCTGGATAAACAAAGTGGCCCTTACTGTCCTTCTGAAATCCAATGGAGCCCAAAGATTACATTAGTTTCCAAATTAATCAGACAGTAATAGTTCCCATGTATGCCTATTCATCTCTGAAAAGTAGCTTTCTGTATTACCTTCCCTTCATTTTACTCAAAGTGGTATTTTCAAAACATACCAAGGTTAGTGTTCTCTAAACATTACCCTCAAACATAGCATTTTTTAAAATGACTGTGACTCTTTAAGAAAGCTCTTATTATCTTTAAACATATTTCTGTTTTATTTCTATAACAAAAAAAATCTGAAACAAAACCTATTGTTCTAACACGCAAAGTTAGTTATTTTGATATGTAGTCTTAAACTTTTCTGCACATTGAATGTTACAAAGTTTCAAAACTCTGGTTTGCACATAAAGTATACAATAGAATTATAATATAATACAATATAAATAAAATAGTTTATTACAAGTATTTTAAAAGAGCTCTACAATACACTTTCAAAACATTTTATACAGTATTCTGTCTTTCAATATGAAGCAGTTCACATAGGGAGAAAAAAAATCTCAATATATAACTGTAGTCATTATTAACATACTGAATTCGTCTGTCATACAAAAATCATAGTAACTACAGACTGAGTATCTTTCCTGGTTTTATTCTCTCTGAAAATGGGAAAGAATAACATGTCCCTTCACCTTTCACTTCATTTATGCCAAATACTACAATGCTCACAGCAAAACCTAAATAAATCACTTCAAAAATTAAAAAAACCCAAATATCAAAACCATTTTACTTAAATAAATATGGATCTATTTAAATAGTGAAAAGAATGCCATGTATCTTACAGGTATGTTAATTTAGAAATAGGATTAAAAACTTCAGGTTTCAACTATTCAGAAGTTGTATAACAAAGGAAAATATCCTAAAAGGTATTTTTTTCAGAGGGAAAAAAAAAGAAACAAACTTCATTCTTGCTCATAACGAATAAAGCTCCACTGCACTTACACATTTTGCCAGCCCCACAGGCACAATGGGCAAAGCTCTCTACTTACCAGAAAGTGCAACTACAGATTCTATTAATACAAAATCGGAATTACTTAATTTGAGCTAAAAGTCATTTTCAGTCTGTTATATTTAATGTAATGAGAACATGACTTCCCAACAAAACTGCTCATCTGAGTTATTATCACATCCTAGAGAACATTTACTGGTGCAATATGTACGCTAGAAGGAAAGGAGACTGGAACAGATAGTAAGCCTGTTTGTAATGTTAATGGTAATTTCTTGTCCTCTTTTCTTGCAGAAAAATAGTTCAGTATTGTATGAATTGGCCAAAAAAGCTAGGAGAGGCAAGGGATGTACAAAGAAGTAGAGATAATGAAGTGGTAAAATGTATTAATTGATTATAAACCCTGCTATTTTAGCAATGTCTACTTGTACTTTATCATCAAAAGGGAAAAGATCTAGTTCCTCATCTGTAGATCTCCAAACCCATTACAAAGCAGTTAAATTTCTTCTATTTACTGTTCTATAATGCCACACCAACATTTTTTCTCATTAAACTTTTTCCCCTTTTTCTACTTTCTTTTCTGCACCTTTTATCTAAAAATAGTAGTTACTTTTTTTAAAAAATATGAAATAAATACAGTAAGTGTCCGTTATTTGCAAGGTATAGGGAGCCAGAAGAAAGTAAAGGGACTATTTTTTTCTGTATTCTGGAAATTACCTTTTTATCTTTACTTTTCTGATAGTTATCATTGCACAGCATAATTTCATAAATTACTATATGGGAAAACATGTAACTTAAAATATCTGATTCATGGAGCATTACAGATTGCTGCAACACTATTAATACAGTAAGAATATGCATTTATAAATTTAGGAAAAAAAATGCAAAGTGGCTTTTTTGTTGCTTTTTTTTGTTTTGTTTTAAACATCTTCTCACATTCATCACAAATTATATCAAGTAGACAGTTCTGAAGACAGTAAATGAACTCTTCAGGTCATCTCCATAATAGAAAGAGATAATCCCCTTCAGTCAATTGTTAGGTGTAATATAAGCCTTTTAGTAATTACGCAACTGAAAATTTTAATATAGAATTTCATAGGACATTATCGAGTTTTGATAAAAACAATATATTCTCTGGTTGTTGCTCAGTGGTACTCAGCTTTAAGCTCTCTTTGAAGTGAATAAGGTGATGTCTTTTCAAATGTGGGGCCTGTCTGAAATTTTTACCACAAACTAAACATTCAAACGGCTTCTGTCCAGCATGCATTAGGTAATGTCTTTCAAGCTTAGAAGGCGATTTAAAAGTTTTAAAGCAGATACTGCATTGATACAATTTGTTAACAACTTCACTTTTTTCAGTACATTCAGAAAAATCATGCCAACAGCTGTAACAGCTTTGCTCTGTTCCCAACAATTTACTACACAAATATGGCTGTGTGTTTCTACTGCTGGTGTCAAGAACAAAGTCCCCTGACTCGATTTCAACTTTGATTTCAGCTGCTTGGTTTGACTGAATCAGCTCAAATTCTTGAAAGCCAGATGCCTGTGAAGGTGTTTGAGAATAACCTGAATAACCCACGGGCTGAGAAGACTTAAATTCAATGTGATCTCCCTGATGATTGAAAAGTTTGTTCAGATTTTCACATTCTACCTGGCAAACGGGGCTTTTACAGGGTCTCTTTTCAGTATGGGTGAGCTGATGTCTTTTTAAGTGAGCTGACTGTCTAAATGTCTTCCCACAAACATTACAGCCAAAGGGCTTCTGTCCCGTGTGTATAAGGTAATGTCTTTGAAGTTTGGAGGAAGACGGAAAGATTTTTTCACATCTGTCACATTTACACACTTTGTGTCTGTTATGTGTATTTTTAGCAGAAGCTGAAAAAGCACAGTGAAGTACTTCTGGATTATCAAAGAAACCATCATCTGATGAACCATAAAAAGCATCATCCTTATTATCCGGTGAATCATTGATGTTTAACATGCTTTCACCAGTAAGCATACCTTTTAAATTAATTGCAAAGTCGTGAGGTTGTGGGTGCTCTTGCCAACGTAATGGCACAGTAAACATTCTTTTCATCCGATTACTAAGTGCCTTGTGCATGTCAAGCTTGCTATGGCAATCCTTGAAAGGTTTAGTGGAAGCGTGCTGATCAGAACACTGATCTCTAGCTGCAACCAGGTCAGGACTTTTAAAGTGACCTGATTTTTTTTTTTTTCTGTCAGTCAGAGAAAAATCTGTTGCCTTTCCTCCAGTATGCTTCAGCTTCATCAGGATCTTATTTTTCACGCTGACTGCATGGCTGCATGCTGTTGTACCATTCTTTGAACTTTTGTCATCTCTCAGATAACAACATTTGTGCAAATTTAAAACCTGTTCCGTTTCAAAACACTGCTCACAAGCTGGGCACTGAAAGGGTACAATATAAATCGAGTGAACATCACATGGGTCATTCTCCTGCGACTCGTAAGTGGCAGCATTCTCAAAACTATCCCTTTTTCCTTCCAACAGGTTGCGTGGTCTGGGATATTTAAGAGTCTTTGCTTTGTACATAATATTGGGTAAAGTCTTATTTCTGGCATGGAGCTGTTTGTGCTTCATGAGTTTGCTCTGTATTTTAAACCGCTTCTGACAAAAGCAGCACTGAAAAGGCCTTTCTTCTGTGTGCGTGAGCTGATGGATTTTCAAGTGTGTTGACTGTCTGAAAGATTTACCACATGAAGAACACTTAAAAGGTTTCTGGCCAGTGTGAATAAGGAAGTGTCTTTCTAGCTTAGATCTTGATGGAAATGTCTTGTTACACGATTCACAAGCATGAGTTTGCTTTCTCCTTCTGGCACCATGTAGGCTATCTGCCTTCAGACACTGATGCAGCATCCACCTCTCTTCAGTTGTAAAAGATTTCCAGCACATGGAACATCGAAATATGCCACAAGTGACTCTGTATTGCTCAGAATTCACAGAGTTTTCTGCTTGCTTGGTATCATTCTGATAATTTTCATTATGAAGCTGCTGATGCTTTAAGAAAGTGATTAAGTTTTTGAAGTTTCTGTAACAAACAATACACTTAAAAGGCAGATTATGGGTTAACTGATGCCTCTCCAGGTGGACCAGCTGCCTAAATGTTTTATGGCATACATGACATTCAAATGGCTTTTGACCAGTATGTATCAGATAATGCCTAGCTAATTTTGATGGAGTTTCAAACTGTTTATAGCAAATGTCACAAATATATGGCTTTTTTTTGTGTATCCTGTCAGCTGTTACACACTGCTGAACTTTTAACATTTTTATAAAGCAATTACACTTTGCCTACTGTTAGTTTCTTCAGATAGGCATTTCAAGTGAAGTCATCAATTGCACACTAAGATGGAAGGCTGTAGAAGCAGCAAATTTTCTTAGGAGAGATATTCTTAAATCCCACAGGTCCCTAAAATAAGAAAGAGAGTATTATTTTAGCCTATATTAATACATAATTGCCTAAGTTTGTCTCTTGTTTCCTACATAAGAGACCAAAAGCATCTAGATGAGAATACTCTTGATATAACTTAGCTTAAAATGCTTTCCTTGTAACAGAGTAATCACTCATTATGTTGCACGATACAAAAAAACTAGACTACTTTCCAGAAGAAACAAACAAGTTTGAGTCATCTGTGCTGTAAATGCAGCTATACTTCCAAATAATATACTGTTCAGCTACATTATGATAGTTTGGGTTATTTACAAATAAAGCGTATTCTTAAAAAAAACCACAAGAACTTATTGTAGTAAATTTCTCCCCTACAGCAGTAATTCTAACTCCCAGATACAATATTTATGAAGATGAGAGAAAAAGAGAAGAACTGGGGATTCTTGGGCTTCAGAAATAAAAATTAAATGAATGCAGTGTTAGTGAGAAGTAAAAATACTTAGTTTCAATGTATTGTTAAAGTTACTAATCACATTTCTGCATCTTATCAACTGTATCCAGTAGTGTAATCATTTTTGCTTTATCTCATAACGGCAAACACAGAACCATTCAGCAAGAGCAACACACTAACCATAAACTACAACCAGAACAAGGATAAGCCCCAAAACAAGGATGAACACAGGCTATGTTCACCATCTCACCACAGAGCTAGAATATCAGAGTTGCGATAGCTAACCATGTGTGTACCATATATACCATATGCACCATATAACCATGCGTATAAGTCATGATAAATATAAAGGTCATTATCATAATTCATCATAACTAATATTTTAGTCTAAACCAAAATCATGAAATAGTCAGTTTTAATTTTCCTTGAATTTTCACCAGATGGAACACACTTGGGCAAGCTACTGTGTCTCAGCTAAGGCATGACTTACAAACAAGAAACAATAACTTCACAAGTACCTGAGTGCATAACAGGTTATTAACATATTCACAGGAAAAGCTAGAAAGCACCTCAGGCAACCGTTTAGTCCAAGCCTTCCACTGTGAGGCCAGCTCATGTCTAGACAGCCTCCAAAGTGGTCTTAACTTCCCTTGAAGGAGGTTCCTTAACCTCAGCAAGGCTCCTGCTCCAATGCATCACCCTCTCATGAAGCTTTTCTTTGCACTCAGCTGAGCCTTTCTTTACTACAAAGTTATTTTCATTATCCTTCCCCCTGTGAACCTATAAAATAACTAAAAAGCGTTCTCTGCCACAGCTTCATGTATTCAAAGTCTCCTTTTTCTCTTCTTTTTTCTTCTTTTTTAAACTAGGAAAATTCTGTTTTTTCTAAATATTGCTTTTAGGTCCACTAAAAAAAGAAAAAAGAACAAAAAAAATTGGTCTTTTTAATCACCTCGGGACCTAAATTGCAGCATCTAAACCAGATTAAGTATTCCAGTCCACAAGAGTAGCACAAACAACACAATAAGAATACCTCTGGTATGGTATTACCTATATCCCTTTAGAAAAAGAAAAGGGATGGAGGGAGCAAACTTTAAAGCAACAGCATAATAGTTAGGACTTGTAATAACTTTGAGATACACAAGACATTTCTACTAACTATAATTTGTGGTATTTTGACACTACAACTCACAAGTTGTACATTCTTTCTACGTACTAGCAGAATAAAAAATTCATTTATTCAGTGTCTCCAAAAGCCCTGTCTTCACAAAGAGTTAGTGTCCCTAGTTTTTAAAAATTCAGAAATAGCTGAAAAGTCCATTCAGAGTCTTTTCAAAGAATGAAAGCCTACTGCAATTTAAAGCAAGTTACGATAAGATTCAAGACACATGCACAAAAGACTGAAAATGTCTGGTGAATCAAGATTTTTCTTAAGCTTAGTGAAAGGAAACCTGGTCATCTGTTGGGATTGTTCCACCTCTAACAGATAGGTTCCTAGATAATTATGGGCCTTATTAAATAACATTTGGATGTATACCTTAGATGCAGTTGTCACTACATTGAGGAGTTACCTAATCTCACTGAAATAGTTCAAGATAGGATTTATCAATGCTATGAAGCAGTTGAGAAAGTCAACTTTTCCTTTCCTAGTCTCTTTTCCCATAGAATTTTAACAGCTACTGGGTTTCAGTCTTGTTTTGAAGATGCAAGAAAACACAACACTTTAGGAGACCCCCTTTTCCTCCCAGTTGTTCTTCTGTACAGCTCAAGGCAGCCTCCATTAGCAGGGAAGGAAAACCTCCTGAGAAAGAACTGTAAGGACTGATGAATTTTAGTTAACATACTGTCATACAGATCTAATTTACGCATCAGGGAAGTGCTCAAACAGTATAGTGACATGCAAAGAAAAAAAAATCCAGAGTAAGAGACAGCTGTGGCATATTACACAAGGGATTTTGCATTGAGCTTATAAATTTTTTAGAGATTCTATCTGGTGAATGAGGAAAATGCTCTGTAGTACAAGGTGTCAAAATCACAGTAGAGCTTCTTGCTGTGGTCTTCTTGCCCTGTGAAAGAGTAAAGGCTCAGATGAGGTAAACTTACGGGACACGGGAAGGAGAAAGAGCCAAGATAGGCATTACTGTGTGGCCCAAATATATTTTCAAATCCTATTTACTAAGGACAGACTTCTCCACATCTATTTCAGGGTGCTCTGTGCCTTGCACATCTAAGGAATAAACACGCTGCTGCTAAAGATCAAAGAGCAAAAGACAGGCTTGGAATATTGTCTCCTGCCAGCTTTGGAAGTACACAGGCATGTCCTAATTAGAGTCAGAAAAATGTACTTCCCTATGTGATAAGGATTTAGTTTGTGGCATAGGTCCAATTTAATATTAAATTGACCCTACTTTTCATCTTGGCTCAAGGTCATGCAGAAAAATAAAATCAAGAAGTAACGTAGACTGTTGAAGGTCCACAGAGGACCCTCTTAAGTCTAGTATTATTTAATGATTAAGATTATATTTATTAATATTACAGATGGCAGCAAGCTGCAACAAAATGAAAACATGATGGAAGAAAATTCTGAATTCTAATCCAGTCTTTATTAATTAGAGAACGTGTTTTTTTAAAAAAAAACACAACAAAAAACAAAACAGGAAGGGCACTTCAATAAGAAGAAATGCAAGATCTTCAATTTAGGCAAGAATAATCAACTGGAAGTGGAACAACTTACTAGGTTATAGTTGTGCAGAAAAGACCTGGAGTCTAAGTTGGAACAGAAGCTGAATATGCCAACAGCATGCCATCCATACCAGGATATGTAAACAGAAGTAAAGCTTTGCAGCACATAAATCTTCCATACTACTCACTACCGTTTACAATTAAGCTAAAGTACTCTATCCAGTTTTGAATACTGCCCTTCAAATTGATTCAAGCATAGGAACTAATTGGAATGAATTCAGAGAAGAGGATCAAGAATGATCAGAGCTTAAATGCATAATATACAGGAAAAGATTGAAGTAACTGGGAACGTTTAAGTTAAAAAAGAGGAGACCCGATTAAAAAGAACAAAAAAAAAAAACCCCAAACAAAACGAAACATAAGAGCCAGCTTTAAAGAAAATGGAAGTAAGCTGTTTCCCAAGCCACTTACAGTTGTGACTACAAATGGCTTCCAATTATAGAGAGGATTCAAGTACATTATTGTCCTTACAGTTGCAAAGTTTTTCCTCAATAGCATACAAATAAGTTGCGTGGGGAAATCGCTCTGCCTCCAACACCAGAGGTCTCCAAAAAAGGTTGTACAAACATCTCTCAGATTCCCACACCCCTAGAGTTGACCCCATACAAGCTAAATATTCTGGCTTGCTTTCCTATGACTCATTAGTATAATTCAAAACAAGCCACTTAAGAATTGAAAATTCAGTATATTTCCAAATTTACCACTGAAGGATTCTTCCGCGCTATCATTAGTGTATCCTCAGATCCTTGAGATAAGCTAATGCTTATAGCTTCCCAGACACAATAATAATAAACGTGTGAATAAACATAAGGTGCCTCCTGTAACATTAACTGCAGAACAGGCAAGTGAAGATCTGGCTGCCGATTTATGAAACGCACAGCGCGCAACAGATGCGGGGACCTGAGCGCCGGGACGAACGCACCGCACTCCCCCACCAGCTCTCCCTCGGGAGAAGGCGAGACCGCTGCGGCGGGGACCGCCTTACACCCGGCAGGTGACCTTCACCGGCACGGCGCATCGACCTAACGCCAGCGCCTCTCACGCTCCCGTTTTCCACGTATTTTCCAAGAGACCTTCCGAGGCAAAACAGAAGACACGTGACGGCGAAGCAGGGTGGTTTAAGCACACGCCGAAGTTCTGCCGGAGGGGCCCCAGACCGACCCCACCGCAGCCCCCAGCAGGACACGCTTAGATCCAGTCACTAAATGGCAAGCAGCTAGCGAGGCGGCTCTTCCAGACAGACGCCAGACCGCGAACGGACACGCAAAACCGCCGGCGGCTTTCCCGCAGCGGAAAGCGGGCTCCCCGCCC